CACCCGCACCTGCCGCGCGGCCTGACGCGCACCTCGGTTTGGCGCATTGGTCCGCGAAGTTCATGCAGGTGGACCACAGCTGTCGCACCTGCTTCCGATGGCGGGGCACCTGCTTGCCCAGGCTGGTCTACATCCATCAACATCTCAGGCACGCAGAAGCAGGCCGTCTCTATACTACGTCTCTCATGAACTTGCATCACTGCCATGTTTGCAGACTGTTTGCACTGCTTCGACTCGATGGATGAATGGATGAACATAGCCGATGCGCACAGCACGCTTCAGATTGCAAGGCGACAAGGGGCAAAACGCGGTGCCCCGACCCGGCCTGTGTGCGTGAGCTTCGCAAGGGCTTAGACCATGTTGGCGAGTCCCTGCGGCCTTGGGAAGCAACTGCTTTTGGGAGGGCTTTTGTCGGGAGAAAACATTACATGAATTGTGAAGCTTAGACGGGCAAAGAGGGTGGGCTGGCTCTCTTTAGGCAAAGTGGCTCGGAGGTGAGGCGCAGGGCACGTGCTCCAGTGCCTGCAGTCAGTGAGAGTGCTAGTCCCATGATGTGCCATTCGCGGTGTCCAAAAAAGTGGGCTTCTGCTCTGAAACCCCTGGCCGGAAAGCAAGATGTCGCTGGATGCCATTGACTTCCCGTGAGCTCGGACCTCAAAAAAACACACCCACGTGGCTTTAAAAAGAACTCAAAGAGTCTCTCAAGGGCCGAGTCCGAGGCGCCTGCCATGTTGCTGATTTGCTGCGGTCAGGGCTCAGACATGTACGGAGATGGAGAAAGCCTCGCAAAGAGATGCCAGGCCAGGCGTCTTTTTTTTTTTGGGGGGGGGGGGGCCCTGGTCTCCGCACCGGCCCTTCGCGTACCTCTCTGAGACCCGCCGGTCACTTATCTTCAACTTCGCGGACCTCCACCTTGAGGCATCGACACGTCGGAACTCGCACTTCAAGTGGCATTGCCTCAAGGCCGCCCACCTCGCGCTCGCAGCGTGCTGAGCTTTGACTTCGCTAGCCGAAAGCTTCTGGCCCGCTGCACCTGGCACGAGGGGAGTTCTGTTGCAGGGAAAAAGGTTCGCGGGTGATGGGAGCCTGAAGCCTCGTTGGGCCACACCTCTCTGGAGCCTCGCACTGGAAGACAAGTACGTGCTTCAGCTTGGACCGCCCCTTCAAGAAGAAAAACAAGCCCACTCTACAATAAGAAAGCGTCTCTTGGAGTGTTTTTTCTAGTCTTCTGCTGCACATTGGCGTCTGTATGTACCCATGAGCTTCCCCGAGTCTTCAGGGCAGCATCTGTGTGAAGACGGGTTTCAGGCTGAGAAGCTTTCTAGCCAACAAGTCTACCTCACAACATCACATCGAAAGCTACGACTGAAACGGCTCTTTTTGGCTTCCCTTGCAGAGTTTGTCTTCGTGGCAGCACTAGCTAGAACCCTTGAAACTCCTTCTTTTCAGATTCTGCGACTGCATGTCTGGGCCCCGTGCCTAACCTGCCAGGTCCCCACGCAAAGTTGGAAACCTGCTTGTTATCAATCACTGCCCTTTAGTTCGCAGGTTCTGAAGCCGGAAAGCTGAGTTGCAGGCCTGCTGTGGTTCTGCATGTAGTCTCATTGAAACATTGTCTCCTGTGGCTTCTGTTGGGGGGCGGTCCTGGCAGCGCAGGGGGCGGACTCTGCCCACGCAATCCGTCGGCCCCCGGTGTGTGCCCGACCTTGCTTTGCTGCTTGGCTGACCTGGGCCGTCTTCAAAAGTCGGCCTTCGCCCGAGAAAACCCGGGTGTTGCCAGTACTACTACTGCAAGAGGCCAAACCCAAGCAAACCCTTTCGAAACCTCTAAATAAGTACTTAAACGCTCAAGGAGGTTTAGAATGCTACAGTAAGGACTCGCAGAAGACACAGCGGTAGCCCTAGTTCTTTTTGCAACGTGACAGGCGGGCTGATGGTCTCAACAGACTGTGCTGCGAGTGCTCTGCGGTTTTTAGTCGCTCCAAGGCAGAGGCGACCAGGCCAAGTTGGCGAGCTCCGGAAGCGATGGAAGGTCAGGTGCCGAATTCTTCGCCGCCTCGACACTTCCCAATGCTTCCGTGGGTAAGATGCGTACATGTGTAGGGCTTGTATGGGTTTGTGAGCGTTTACCTTGGGTTGCAGTGTTTTTATTCAGGCTCGCCGTCAAACAAGCCAGGCAAGCGACAAGGGTAGCAGGGCAAGGGTAGCAGAAGGTTGTCGAAGGACTGCACGACAAGACAGCGACAAGTGCACCCGCAGAGCATCAACCAACTGCAACGTACAATAGGGCAATCCGCGGTCACAAACCGGGACTGCTGATGAGCACGAGCAAGTAAAATAACGGGCCAGCCCAGCAAGTGGAAATGGCAGTTCTCAATCTAAACAGCAAGTTGGCATTTCGTTCGGCTTCATGAAGCCCCCTCAACCACAACGGCATAAAGCCCGCCCCGTCCCGAAGTCTCGAGGTTGCGGGGCCTCTGAACATCTTGGCCCTTGGGATCTAAGCTTCCTCGGCACTCCCCCATTACCAATACTCCTTCTGTGACTCGCTGTTCGTCCTCTCTTGTGAACTGGTGGCCCATGGGAGATGGCGTGCAGCTCCCTTGTTCCCCACCCACCCAGCTATGTCGCACCCCAGGGAGTAACGAAAGACTGCTGAGCCTAAGGGGAGAACCAAGGACGGTTGCACACTCCATACCGACAGGCCAAAGACAGTGTACAAACGCTAGGGAGATGCTCCTTGGTGAAGGCTGATGCTGGTGCACTGGCTCCACAAGCCATCAGTGAAACAGACCGCAGCTGCCCTCGGTTCCTTCGGCAGGCGAGCCCTCTATGCCATGTCCGTCACAGAGTCGGACTTCGTGAGCCGATGTCACTAGTCGCCGTGAACCCTCAGGCTCAACTTAGCAGGGTGTGCTGCATGGCTTGGGACGGTTGGGGCGGACGCGGAATTGCACGATGCGTCTACATTATATCTCCGGCTGCCAACACCCAATGTTGGGTCATTCCTCTTTTGATCAACAAAAACCATGCATTTTTCGGATGAGAACGCAAGGGACGTCTCAAATTCCCGTCCCAGCACCGTTCACTGGACGACGTATGCATCAAATACGTGCGCATGACACAAATGACAAATTCATTCACATGCAGACTCTACATGCGGGACAAGTCAGTTTGACGGTTACACTGGCCTTGAGCACCTGGTAGCGTCAGCCTCAGACAAGAGCGACTCCCGCAAGCGGCGCTGCAGCCTCTGCAGGCTGTGGGGACACATCATGATGCCGACTGATGCGGAATAACACGACTATTAAACATGCTGTTTTTTTTTTGTTCTTGCTAGTTCGTTTTCATTCTCACGATGATTTTGAATGTTGTCCGTCTTTTCATTACTCCAGGAAGCCCGATTGCAATTCCATCGAGGGCCAGATCGAAGGTTGACGATCGAAGGCGCGCAGACACTGTTCCCTGGATCTTCAATCTTCAAGCCGGATGGACTTTCTATGGAGACTTCCACAAAAAGATCTGGGGGGATAGGAATGGCCTAAGGAACAGAGAGAGCACCCTCAAACAAGCCGCAGAAAGGCCCTCGCACCTGGATCCTGGAAATGCGGGGCAGCGATAACCCCACAAGGTACGTAGCTAAATACATAACTCTACACCCACACCTACCTGTGTTATGACCGAGAAGTACAGATGATGTAAGGCCAACCACAAATACTGCTTGACTTTATTTAGACATTGAGACGCTACACTCATCAGGTTTCTCAGCACCAAGCCGGATGTAATATCCAATAGCACGGGAGAGATTGGGCTGTGCATGATTCATTCTGAGGACTAGGGATATGACAGGCAAATGAACCAATGTCCACGGTAAGACGGCAAGTTCCCGAGCAGGAGCTTAACCTGCACTGTTCGCAAGGGAGGCATTGCCACGATGACTGGGGACCAAGTTCCTCACAATTGCGCCTTGGTTTCGGACCGACGGATCTGGTTTACAAGCATCAATTTTTTTTTGTCATGGGAAGGCATTTTGCCGGCAACACGCTGGATTCGTCTTGAACTTCGGACTCCAGAGATACAGGGCCAAGAGCATCTGTGCTTGCACAAAAACTTCCCAAAGAACACGAAGACCTCTGATCTGTAGTCAGGATTACATCAGCGGTTCTCGTCAGAACCACATCAGGGACTGTGAAGATTGTTTGAATGCTGAGTGGTATCAATATCAACATGTTGGAGCCCACGACTTGAGGATTGGCGCTTGTGGGGATTCAGTGTGTGTTTGTCGCTGCTCTTCTGGCTTCATCATCGGGAGTGCAGAAGCAGCTTTTCCCACATGGGTCCTGGTGACATACACGTAGGGGGAGCCATGAGAATTGCAGGCGCCTGCATGGCATGTTTTCGTGAACGGTAATGTGGCATGATCTGCAGCTTGCTATAACTGGCTATGTAACAGTCTTCAACCCTAGAAGGCGCGAAGAAGACACTCTTCCGTCGGCCTCGTGCAACCATCGCCTGGCCCAACCTCTCACACACGGCACACAGGGTGTGGTGCACATGGCCAGTTCACTGCTGAAGCCCCGAAGCCTCCTGGCAGCTTGGGCTTGGCGAAGGCCGACCTGGACTCGCGGATTTGACTCCCCCGTAGGACAGACGGGAGAGATAGGCGTCTGCGGCCTGTCGCAGTTCTGGGAGGCCACCCAACTATGCCTCCGTTAGGACGCGCCAGGATGACACGAGCTCTCTCGAGCTCCACTCCGACTCCCCTCCTCGCGAAGAGGTTCGGCTCCATGGCGCGGAGCAGGCGCAAGGTGTACTAGGGAGCTGAAAGCAGTTTCCCGCAGGGCAGTTGTACAATAGCGGTGTGGGTCGGGTGCCGTCGGGCCCGGCGGGGTGGCTGGCTGTCTCGGCTCGAAACGGACGCAGTGCGAAGAGCTTGGACAGCCTTTTTCAGAGCTTCGCTGAGCCTGAGCTGAAAACGCTTGCTTCTTTGAGCAATGGGACTAGGACCTCAGCTTCTCCGAGAGCTCCCAGTCCTTGCCTCCGACAGGCATGCCGGGACGTCCCCAAAACGGCCCATCCAAGGCATCCGAATGGGCATGCGCGGAGAGGGAGCGGCAGGGGCGCCGAGGCCCTGACGCAGGCGCGAAAGAATGGCACGCTCAGAACCTTCCAGAGCCGAAGCCGAAACCGAGAGATTTCGAGAGAGATAGAGAGAAAGAGATGAAGGGAGAGAGAGGAAGAGAGAGAGGGAGAGATGGAGGAAGGGAGCGAGGTGCAGAAGCTGCACATGATACGTGTGCACACCCATGGGTGCCAAGCATGCCTCTGTCCCCAACCATATTATAGCCAACAGCCAACCATAGAAAAAGAATCGGGTACATTGGGTACAATATGTGCTTGCGCAGAGGCGAGGGCTCTCGCGTGGCTTCTTCCGCCAGCCATAGGCCTGTCAAGAGATTCGAGACGTGGCTCTCGGAGTTGGGCTTGTGCTCGGCATCTGGCACATCGGCGAACTCGCATGCGAGCCGGCCTGGTATGATCCCACAAGGTCACTGAAGACTGCTTCTTCAGAAAGGCTTCATCTTTGCCAAGGACAGCCACAGCCCCTCTACCGCATCTCATGCACCCCTGTCAAGTTCGCAGCGGCGCTTGCCTGCATCTTTCCTGTCGTTCCTTTTGCTCGAAGACTTTCGCCCCAGCTGTTCGTTCTGTGTTTCTTGGGCTTCGAAACCGTCGTCTAGCTCTCCGGAATGAAGGCAATGCTCGCCACATGACCGTGGCCGCCTATCCGTAAATGACCGGCTCCTGAGACGAGCCCTGCCATGATTTTCAGGGAAGGCTCGCTCACCAGGGGGGCATGCTTTTTTGGCGAACTTCTCTCGGTGCTTCTGCTTCCCCACAGTGTCAACTCAGAGTCTGTAGAACTGGGCTCCTCCCACCTCGTGGTCGTAGCATCATCGACGAGGATCTCCAGTCCTCGCGTCGAGTCGAGGCATGACATCGGTCGGGACCGTTTTTGGCCTTGGCCCTGCTCCGAAACTTAAGGAATCTGTAATGTGGATATCACTTCCGTGGTGGCGAACGCTGAAAAAAACACATTAGAGAGAAGCCATGCACCAGTATCACTAAGTGACAGTCACGAGTATGCGGCACGAATGCTTGAACCGCTACGCTCGTCTTGGCGTGCCGAGTCTGAGTCCTCCTTCCAGCAAGCCGTCGAAGCCGGCACCCGGTCTCAGGGTGTCCGAACGCAATCAACATGGGTGGCTATGGCACTACTAGCATGCACACACCAACAAACACATCATACACATGTGCAAGTATAGACTAGAAATATGTAGACACATGCCGACGGCAGGCATGAAATTTATGTAGGTCAGTGATGCATGCAGCGTACGCACACTGATGCAATGCAGGTAGTGGGGTGCCGTGGACGTGGTGGCGCGAGGCCGGGGGGGGGTTTTGGGGGAGTCTGCGCTGGTCAGCTGAGAGCCAAGGCTGGCGACTCCCAGGAGGCAGAAACCTAAGCAGGGAGAGCCAAGGCCAAGGCAACACAAAATCTCATACAAAGGAGAGGAAAGAGAGGTCTAAAGAGAGGGGCTTAAAGACTTAGAAGAATGAAAAGAGAGAGAGAGAGAGAGAGACAGCTACTCTGCTACTCTCGGCTTCGGCTTCCTTCGCTGCTCAGGTTGCCACTTGATGCAGCTCCCCAGGGAGGACTGCCGCACCTGCGCAACGTCTGAGTTGTCAAGGGCGGTTAGCGCCCACAGTCGAGGCCTCCACCGGAGTCTTCAGGCCCACTTTCTTCATGGCCGCACCGTTCTGGTTGGCCCCACGGCAGTAGTTGAACCTTGCTTCCCGGATCTTGCAAGCTCTAGAGTCTGGTGAATTTGGTCGGCCCCACACACGACAGCCGATTCAGACAACACAAAAGAGGGGCTAGGAGGATGATGCTGCAATACCAGCGTAGCAGCCACCAGAAGGCGGAATTCAATCGCAGCTTTTTTGTCTTTCACCAGGAGCCAAAGAATCATGATGCTGTCATGTTTCCTGGCTTTTGTCACCCACCCCAAAGCAAAAAAAAAGGGAGGGGACTTCCCCTCCCCTTCTTTCTTGGGACCCGGCTCCACCCAGCCTCGAACCCAGGCGCGCGCCCGGCGCGCGTTCGGAACCTCTAGGCGCCTTGCCAAGGTTCCACTGCAAGAAACTATTTCTGTATGTATGTATGTATGTATATATATATATATATATATGTCTATATCTGTTTATAAGCATCTCGAAACAAAGGGCCATCAGAGGTATAGTCGGGAGTCTGTCATGTCTTCCTGACTCGAGAACTCTAGGGTTTCGTCCATCCGGAGTGGTTCGGCGAACCTACACCCTGTTGCCATGCTCATCTTTATTAAGTACGGCAATCACGGCGTCTAAGTTGTTGAGTATCGAAAGCATTGTTCATCATGTTTATTGGTATCTGCACCGGAAAGACTCCTTGTATTTCACTACGCACCTTCCACAATGCCATAATATTCCACAAAGAAAACGCCAATTTACTGCAGCAGCCGCTGTGACTCAAGGTGTCAGAGGCCGGCCAGAGCTCGGGTCCCACCAGGGGCAGCAAAAGCTCTTCGAAGTCCGAGCCCTGATCCACAGGACATCTTCAGAAAAAACTACAAGAGGTGGACTAGTCAGGGGCCTTACGGGTGCGACCCGGGGTCCACTTACATTAAGGAACATGACTAAATGCCCTGATCTCTACGTCTTCGTTTCTGGCTTTCGGTGTTTCAGACGTGAAGTCTGGAAGCAAGGAGGGCCGTGGGGGACCTAGGAACGTCCACAGGGTCTCGGGCCTCAACTAAGCTAGCTCAAACCCTAAGCCCGACCGCAATATAAGACCTTGCCCGGCATTGTTCGGGTTTCGAGGGCTGAATGGCACCTTCAGCTCTAAACCCCCGAACCCTCCACCCCTAAACCCTATAAGGCTTCAGCTGACAAATCCTTCTCTGGTGGGCCTCAGCTTGACCAGCCACAGTAACTTCCGGAACATCCTGGGAAGAGTGGGCAAGAGTTGGTCTAGAGTCTAGAGTCGAGGTGTCTTTGCTTTCTGTGCTCCTGGCTACTTGTGTGGAGATTCGTACATTCATCCTCTTGCATCAAGACTCAGTCTCTCTCGAACTTCCAGAAACATCACCATGCAATGCTTCATGCCGGTGTCAACAATTAACCGTTATCTGTAGGACTCAACTCAGGTGCTCTTCTGTCTCGAGAAGCAAAAATCCGCAACAAGGCCCTGGCGAGGCCGCTTTGCAAAGCAAAGTCCAACACCACGGCCAGGACCTCCCAACGCGTGCCGTGCGACCCCCTTGCGTCTCACTGAAACAGCCCTTGTATACTTTAAGAGACCCGGAAAGTAGAGATGCGGCTGGCAGCAGGTGACTTGCAGCGAACCGCGAGCTTTCTTCTGGCGAAAACTTTGGAAAAACTTGGCCTGAAAGATCATCCGGGGGTCGGTGACACTTCGTATCCAAGACCACCCGTCATGCATGCTGTTTCGCTTATCCTCCCGATGGCCCTGCTCCCTGAAGGCGGAAAGATTTTCTATGTTCGACACTTCGGTGCCGGGCTGATGAGTGACCGTATTATAAGCATCAACAAACACACTTATAAATAAACTGCAACTGTAACTATGTGTGCATGTGTTTTCTATACACAAAGGGTAGGACTTTTGGCACAGGCATCGCCAAACTTTATGAAGTATTCAAACACGTGTAGCAAAACGATTCATATATCTCTACTGCGCACTTGAGCTTCAACCCGTGGGTCAACTCAGAGGGTGGTGAGCTCCGTCTCTTTGCTCTTGAACTTCGCGTCCTCGGTTGAGGTCTCCGCTCTGACGACGGGACTCTTCTTAACCTACTTAACTTCTAAGTTGCAGGAGACCAGCTATGTTGCCACATATCCCGAAAATAGGTTAAGCTAGGTTAAGTTCAAGTTCCCCCAAACAAACCCTAAACCCAAGCCTTTTTCTGCTGAGCTTCGATGTCAGCTACACTTTTCTTCACAAAGTCCTCGATATCCTGGCCCATGGCCCTCACCTCAGACTCAAGCCACTTCAAATTACCCTCCTCCAAGGCTCTTCAACTTTCTGTTGCTCTCGCATGATTTGGGGTGTGCGGGATCCTAGGGTTTCGACTCACACACTCGCGAAAGGCAGGCATGGCGCGTTCGGTCGGATCCTAGGGTTTAGGATTTGGCGGAAGGGAAGCTTGAGCTCCGCGCGGTATCTTCCGGGAGCTTCTTGTTGAAGCTCTTGATCTTCTTCATTGCTGCTTGCCGGACATTGCGGACCGCGACCTGTGCAAGTAGATTTCAGGACTTCAGTTGCCGGAAGAAGGAGAAAGGAGAGACCCCTAAGGAAGGCCCTAGCATGCAAGGGTGCACTAAGAAAGAACCCAGACTTTGAGCTTTCAAGGCCTTGGACTTCTCCGCATAGTCCTTGGCCAGCTTCACGTATTGCACGCGCTTCTCTTTCGTGAGTGGGGGGATGTTGACCTCAGCTGTTCCGGAAGCTCTTCCGCGATGTTTTTCTGTCCAGCCGGAGCCCTACCCCCCCCCCCCGGTTATCCTGCAGCTTCGCGCCTTCACCGACTGGCCCATCCTAAGCTGCCCGAAGACGGGGAAGGCAGTGTGTCGGGGCAGAATTTCTCTGAGGCTTGGTCTCCGAAGCCGTGAAACCCAGATCGGCCGTCTGGATGGCCTTCAAAACTTCGACACGGTCCCTAAGTGCGCCAGCACATGAATCAAAAGAAACATATGCACCGACATACATACATTTGTACACCGCGTGGGTCTGCGTATTTCGGCATGTATGTGGTGTGTTTATGCTTTCTGTCGAAGGGGGTCTGTTCTGCGGCACCTTCACGACGGCTGGAACGACGGTGTCATCGAAGACGTTCACCATCAGCGTGGTGGTGTCAGAAGCCTCAGAGCATTCACAAGCGTCACGAGTGTAGACTGTCTAAATACGAAACAGTAGCAAGTAAGGCACAGAAATGGATCCAAATAGCATGCACTCAACAGTAGCTAGAGTGGAAGACTGAGTGGGAAAGTGCGCACAAACACACACACACACACA